TTAACGGGTGTGCACCAGGTCAAGACTGTAATTGAACAATAAAAACAAGTTACAACGGTGCCCACACCCGTTACAAGTCCATACCCTGCCATACAAGAACAGTTCAGGGTAAGGATGTACCCCAAGTCTTTGTGGCCATAGTTACTCCCAGGCATCATAAGGCTTTGACTTAATGCCCACTCTCTGACTGGGGAGCACATCTGCCTCAAAACACGGAACTCAGTACCAGAGTCAAAGTATTTCACATTCTTTACATAACACATAATTGTCTGCATCGATAGATTTATATGATTTAGGTTCTCTTTTGTATAGACACTGGGGGCCTGAGTGAGGTAATTATAGATATTAGGCCAGGTAACTGATGGCCATTTTCTCCTATCTACAACCCACTGTTCTGTGAGAATAGTATTATTATTATATGTTTATTTGACAGGCACAGAACAAAAAGTATTGTTACAGGTAACCAATGCCATGTTCATAGGCCGTATAGCAAACAGATAATTGGCAGTCGCTAAGGCATAAAAATATTAGAGATTTCAGTTCAGCAGGTAAAATGTTCCAGAGCTGTGGCTCTTCGACTGCAAACGAAGTCTGACCAAATGATGTTTTACATCTTGCTGGTCTGCAGTGTGTGTGGATCAGGAACTGGTGCCCATCGCAGAGGACCATGAAGATAACCTGCACCATCAGAACTATTCAGGGGTTCTGTGTAGTGTGTAGAGATGATAGCCATCCTAAACTAGCAAACACAATACAGGTACAGAAGCCAATTATGACAGGTTGAAACAGCTTAGCCCCAATTTTAAGTTCATTTTAATAAAAATACATGAAATCAAATGAAGTTTACTACTATTTAGCAATGTTAACAATTCAGATATTTAGCTCATTTGTTTCAAAACTTTGTATACACATTTTTGATATTTGGGTTTATGGACTGACAGATTTATTGCTAGTTAGCATAGACTCATTAGGTCAAACCGCTATAATTATGCAAATAAAAAGCAAACAAATAACTCAGAGACAGTTTTATTAAACTTTGATAACGGTCCTGACATGATCCTGACAAAGCATTCAGTGTAAACAACGTACAGCGATGACAAAGGTCCCGGGATGTACCTGGCTAGCCTTGCGGCAACATAGGCTGATGACGTTATTAGGAGAGAATATTAAACATTTACGAACTAAACACGTCCTGGTGTAAGCCTATAGGGTGTCCACAACAGTGTACATACCACGTTAAAGACCACAATAGCCAGCCCAGTTAGGGTTAGAAAAAAGATATACGGTCTATGGATTAATCATATGCTGCAGTGGGCTGTTTACCTTTCACTGGCCCCGCCCCCAAGCGACAAAAGTATTTCACGCGCGTAGAAGAGATGGCAAAAGTGTTCAACGCAGAGCACAGACCACGAGAAGGGAGAGGGCAGGTCACGAGCGCACACACGCGCGTATTGTGGCTTGTAGTACTGAGTCTGCGCGCGTGTGGTGTGAAATATGCTCGTGGAGAGTAGTTTACGCGCGTGTAAATTACATAAAGCTGCGCGTGTATGTTTTAATTGCGCGTGTGGACTTTTGGCGTAAATCTGGCGCCATACATTTTTCCTTCTCCTTCTGAAGTGCACTTACATACATCTACAGTATATACCATCACAGCTGCATGTACAGTTAACCTGGGGTCTCTGCAGGGGGCTGGGCGGTTCTTAAATGTCATTCCTGGCCTCTTCAACCTGTAATTAAACCTTTGGAAGTGGAGATAAAATGAACAAATTGGGTAATGAATCGGGTTGAACAGGTGTTGTATGGTGCCGCAAAATGCACCAATCAGTCTTCCCTGTGAGATTTATTCAGCTTCTAATTAGAGCCTGCCTTCGTTAATTATGATTAGACTCTTCTCCATGAAAAAAATGGCCTGACATTGACAGAATTGGTGATAAACAAACAGCTCAACCTCGCCTTTACCTCTGTGTCAAAGAGCTAAACCCATCTCTGGTATTAGCTAATGGAGAGTCAATGCCAGAGCTTAAAAAGTCCGACCAAGAATCATTGAGAAATTCACTGCAAAATTGACTCAATCTTCCACAGCCTGAGATGCTGAGGAGGATATTAAAATTTTCAGGGAAAGATTAACGTTTCTTGAAAACATCATGATCAATGCAACCCTCATACTCACTCTTTCCTCTTTCAGTCACAGGCAACTGTCAACTTCCTTATTCCCATACACCAGTTCATCCATGGGAATCCCAAAGCATTCCCAGGCCAGCTGAGAGACCTAGAGCTTATTACATGTTCACACTTGTAAGTCTGGTTCACTTTAACTGGACCAAGTCTGGTTCACTTTATCTGGACCAAGTGTGGACCACTTTAACTGGTTTAAGTCTGGTTCACTTGGGGAAGATGCTTGACAGATCAAGTCAGTTTCAAAAGATGTCAGCAGTTTAATGGGAGGATTTTCTACTTCCGGGTGGATCATCCAGACTGCTGGCCCTCCTACTTGCCAATCATTCTAGGGATACATGCTTGTCAAATAAGACCAGAGAGATTTGTTCAAAAAAGGGGAGATGGCGGTTCTTTCCTAATATTTGGGAAAATACTCCTATATACCTTTAAGTGACATCACTTGTGTGCTGGTTTTACATCCACTAATCCCAAGTGATGTCAAATGGGTCCAGTTAAGGTGAAACAGTAGACCTATGCCCTGTTTACATCAAGCCTACATGGCCTTCTATTCAGCTCTGCTCTACCCCAATTGGGTTTAATACCGCCAAGCTAGTACTAAAGTGTTGTACCTGCCAGTAATTGGCCGTTCTGCTGGAAGCCATGGTTACCACAGAATTTACAAGGTGTGTTGTGTTGGTTGCTAGAATACGGTACCAAATACCAAAGCGTAATGGAAATGTAATCAAGTAGAGTAGAGCTGGATAGAGTTGGTGATAATGAGGCTATAGTCCCTCAACCCAGTATCAAATGAGGCTTCATGTACATGCTTTTGGTACATTGAATAAGGTAACATTTTCTCAAATCCAAACAGAATTCTCATCTAGACAAATTATTAACATGAAGTAAAAGTATGTTTTGCTCCATGCATATTGTTCTAGTCAAACATGAAGAAGTATTTTGCATCAATAGTATCTCACAATATGTTCATGCCACTAGAACAGCTTGTAATCACATTTTAATAGACAATTAAAATTGAGCTATCAATCAATTTCTGCTGTGGACTTAGGGCTTTGAATATGTTTTGACCAAAAACAAACTTCTTTTTTTCTTACAATGTCGCGTTCAATTAACCCATGGCGCTTTATTGAATGGATGAAGCAAATTGCAATCACACAGGATATTTGGATGTGTTAGTCCATGGCACATTATCAGAGGAATGAGTTTGAGAATAAAAGATGTGAAATCAAAGGGGAACGGCGTGGTGCTGTGCCAAGGGCCACTGCTGCATCAGAAGGCTTTATGCATGTGGCGCTGCTTTTAAGATTCGGCTCAAACTGGATTCGGCCACAAGAATTTGCACACTTTTCTTTTCCAGAGACAAAATGAAATTTCGAAGTATGTCAAGAAGGCTGCATTTCTTTTTATTCTCCTTCTACCATTTTACAGAAATCGTACCTAACTTATTGAAAAATATATAATATAAACATAATAGTAAAGTAATAGCAATAAACTGCCATTAATACAAGATATTTGTCCTGCAATAATGAAGAGGCTGAAGACACTGGCACTGAAATATGACTTTATTGTCCACATAAGAAAATGTGTCATCTGTATTTGACCCGTCTTTCAATGCTACTAGGGCCTAGGACTGTCAGGGGCAGTGGTCGCCCTAGTACAGCGCCCATTTCCAGATGTGGATGCTCGGCTTGTTTAAGTTTTATTTATTTATTGTTTATTTGGTTTGGACAGTATGTTAATGAACACATCACTCCGGATTGTAGCCATGGGCTAATGTCCATCCGTCGTTCCACATTCGCACTCACAAACACACACTCATTTACCCTGAACCATTGCACATGTTTTTAGCGGTAGGGGAAACCAGAGTACCCGGAGGAAACCTACGCAGACACGGGGAAAAGATGCAAACTCCACTCAAAAAGGCCCTTTACCGACCGGGATTTGAACCCAGAACCTTCTTGCTGAGAGGCGAGAGTGCTATCCACTCAGCCACCGTGCTTTTAGTTGTAGTGGAAAGCAGAGCAGTTGGACGAAACCAGAGCACCCAGAGGAAACCTACGTAGGAGAACATGGGGTTGTCACTCAGAAAGACCATGTTCCGACCGGTATTTGAACCCCGGACCTTCTTGCTGAGAAACAAGAGAGCTAACCGCTGCCACCATTGAATAATACATACTAAACATGAATCCTATGGATCTAATATTTCAACCTTTAGTAAAAGTGACATAATCTCACAATTTCTTTGTTGGAATGTATTAACTTTTCCTTTTTTTCAAACACGAGTGAGATGTCTTTATAAAATCAATAAGCATTATCAAACCAGCACTGCATGTAAATGAGAGTAATAAACGGCAGCTGAATCAGCCGCATACCTCCTCCTCTGGGAACACAGAGATTGGGTTTCATTGATAACTTTACAGATAAGTAGCTTATAAATGTCACTTTCATCTCCTGGCTTCTTTGAAATCCACGACTTCCTCGATTAGAAAGAAATTAAAATAAAACATCTGTCTTCACACATATTTTCATACTGGAGAATCATAGAAATGTGGTGTCTTCAGTAATGATTGGAAAAACAGTAAGTAACAGTAAGATGTTATTAGTGTGTGTATAAATGACGGCTCCAAAAGATTCTACCGGCTGTTTCCTCGAGGGAAATTAGCAGCATCTAAATTTAAGTGTTAGAAAATGGAAATCAGAATATGGAAACTGGATGTACCCGTGGCGCCGTGCTGGCACAGTCCGAACAGCAGAATGCATGCAGTTATTCGTGTCCTCTGCTCTATATTGGCCTAACTAGTGTGACTGGTGCATGTGTTTTGCAGACAGAGGACGGAGAGGAAGAGAATCCACTGGAGAGCTCCACATCTTTAGAGTTGGAGTTTGTGGATGATCCCAATTTTAAAAACAAGGTCAACTACTCCTCCAGTGCGGTGCAGATCCCGACCGACATCTACAAAGGCTGTGAGTGTCCACTTAACACACTGAACACATGTTTTCCGTGAATTCTGTGCTTTTGTCACTTGTTTGGCACCTGTGTTTTCAGTGGTGCAAGAACTAATTCAATTCCATGTATTTTTGTATAGCCACTAAATCCCAAAAGTAGTTCCCTCGGAAGAATTCTCAAAACCATCGAATTTGCAAACACAGATCAGAGAATCATTCAGTTCAACATAAGAAACGAATGAAAAAGAAAAAGCTGACCATAAGTTTTGATAAAGTCCATATTTGTCGTTGAATGTCGAAGGTCCTGGATCGTCACTATGAAAGAAAACATGAGTAGTAATAATAATAATAATTGTAGTTTTTCGTAATTACATTATAGTTAGGTAATCTTTCAGAAATTGTGTATTATTTGCATGAATATTATCAGGCTCGAGTAAGATATACTTTGCAAGACACGTTAAGTTGTATGTGAAAAATTACACTACCCTTCAGCCCTTCAAATTGTATTTACAGTATTTTTCAGCAAACCTCTATATCAACATCAGCTACATTTTAGCACACAGTGTGTATTTTTACACATATGTTTAAACACATGTCTTTTTCATACACGTTTTGCTTTCTCTCAATGCAAGACAAATAATCTAATCAAACAAATTAAAGTTATTATTATCATAGCAATTATCCAAAACATGTTCATTTGGTAGTCTGACCCCTGGAGCTCGCGGTGCTGGTATAGGACTCCACCTGAGGATGATGGCTCTGGCTCTGTGACCAGCTCGCCTCCACTGTCAGGGAGTTTAGATAGATAGATAGATAGATATCCTCGTAGGGGAAAATCAGGTGTCCAGTAGAAGCAAAAACACATCGACCCACACAGACAAAACAGATAAATTGATCGTTCTAAAAAGCTAACAATTGTCATAATAATAAAATGCAACAGCAGCAGAGGTGGTGCAGCCGCTTGGTTAGGACCATTTTCTCTGCTCTGGTCCAAAGTAATCCAGTGGATTTTTGGCTGTTCTGCTTGGTTCGGGCCATGACCCCTCTCTGCTTCGGTATGGACAAGTGCAAAACCATGAACACTGTGCTGCAGCAACATCTCATTGTTTACGATATATCAGGGCTTTACTAGTTAATCACAACAGAAGAGGTTTTATGACTAATTCTCAAATGACATCAGCTTGAATTGAAAATGTGTTTTTGACCCTGTGTAACAATCTATTTGGATCGACACAACAATTTTCTGAATCAAAATTGCAATGGGCTAACTAATCGATTATCAACATTCATTACAGCCCTACAATGTAGCAATGTTACTTTACATTTGGCAATGAATTACGAATGAATGCTCTAGATATATCTGAGTCTCTGACTCTGAGTGGCAGAGACTGTCTCACCCACAGAATATATTTTATTGTGAGAGAGACAGTTGTTTTGAATAAATGCTAATGCTAAAAAACTTTGAGAAACTTTTGAAACTTCTCTTGCCTCTTTTCTAAACTTAAAGAAATAGTGTAGTGAACACAACACTAAATAACTTATTGTTACTTGTGTGAATAAACCAATAAGACATGTTGTTTATTGGCTCATAATAATAATTTGATTCTTTCACTCAGTGCAGTTAAAAATTTTCAGTGTCCAGTTTAGATGGTAAGGTTTTGAAACAAGTCTGTAATGCCTCATTCATCCAGAACTTTCAAAAAGTGATCATCTGTCAACTATGTTTTCAGAATAGAGCTCTTTTCACTCCCATCCACAAGTCAATTTGAAATCTGAAAGGAGAGATTATGATACAGACTGTTGTGAGCTTAGCCTTCTATAATGAAAACTTTCAAAACTTGTTATTTGCGTATTGGGTTTAAAATCGCACATGTCTTTGTGCCGTGCCGCCAGAATGCCAACTCTGATTCGAAATTACGGATACCCTCACATTTGCGTTTGTCGTAGAATGCGTTTTTCTGCTCACACATTGTCCACACAGTTCCCATTACCAAACTGGAGCACATGGCCTTCTTTCTCTCCTTATTTATCTTGGTATGGGTCCTTTTGTAACCGCAGGGACAGTCTGTGCCAATCTCCAAACCACTCCAAAACCAGGCCGTGCACAGACACACAGATGACAAGATTGATGGACATTTTACAGAAGCCATTTTTCCTTGTTATTGCGTGTTTCTTTGTCTTGGGCGTTGAACAGTCGCCTGCTGTATGCCACCTGTCTGTGACAATGGCCTCCAGCTGCGCGTCTTGTCAGAATTAGACACTCTCAGTTGAGGACGAGATGTCAGAGGGCACTGCTACCTCACAATAGAGCAATCACACTTGTACAATCTTCTCCAAGCCATTTTCTCTCTCTCTACCACTCTCTATATTCTTCCCCGAGCGCGCTCTTTGTCATTCGTTGTCACTTTTCTGTCTTTCTTTCTCCGTCTCTCTTCGCCGCTCCCCTCTCATATGTTGTCCAATCACAATGAGATGTTTTGAAATCTGATATTGTTTCTTATAGAGGACACAACATAGGGCTGTGTCAAGCATGTAAAGATCAAAAGAAAGCAATCTCTACTTTTAGAAATAAGTGAACCAGGTGTCTCTCCTCATTTACCATTCCCAATGTTCCCACTTTTTTGCCCATACATTTGCCAAAACAAAGTGGTGTAAAAGTTAAATGCAGTGAAAGAACCATTCCATTTTGCTTGATTTTAAGGGATAGATCAATTTTTTCTGGTTTTATAATTGATTACGCTGGCTTTAGATCAATATACACCAGCAGTAAATTGATATTTTCATTGCTAAATAGTAAAACAGGATAAGATATTCTTCCCTACACTGCCCAGCTGTGTGTTGGCCTGTTAATAGTTATAATCTATGACAAAAGCATGTCATTTTACAATATAATGTATACATTGAACTACTTCTCATCAAAACATGCTAATTACAAATAACTTTTTGACACATTAAAGGAGCAGTTTGTATAAATCTGGCCAACAGTGGTACTGCAACCTCTCCCACTCTTCCTGACACAGGTTGCCAGATTTGCAGACACATCTAGCACATCTACACCTATAAAAATCCTTGTTTTGTTCCTTGTTTTGTTATCAATGATTTTAGAATCATAAAGAGACCTTTTTTAGTTCTGCGGCCACATGTTACTTTACCAGTGCGATTAGCGAGTTCTGGCAACTCGGATCACAGACCTTCTGATTGGTAAAACAGTGGAGGGCGGGGCATCGAAATGAAAACAATAACAAGATTTAGGGGCTGTAAAACTCAAGTTTCTCGGCTGAACTACTGTTATCAGTTAAAGAAGTATTCAAAAACACAGTCCCTCCCGTCGACTCCTCACATCTCCTCACTCCCACTGTCAAATCCAAGCACCGAACCTTGGGGGACCGAGCTTTCACCATCTCTGCTCCCACTCTCTGGAACTCTCTCCCCCTCATCTCAGAAACTCAGACTCACTAAACTTCTTCAAAAAAACAGCTAAAAACTCGCCGCTTCCGCTAAGCATATGAATCTTAGTTTCAACTTTATACTCTTCTTTCCTGCTTTTATATTTTTCGTTTTGTGTGTCTGTCTAAACGTGTGTGTGTGTGTGTGTCCTGAATTGTGAAGCGTCTTTGAGTTTTTGAAAAGCGCTATATAAAACCGATGTATTTTTATTATTATTATTATTATTACTATGTTTAATTAATACGGTTTGACATATTTGGGCCATTTAATGATGACTTGACATGAGAATTGTTTACATTGCTACTTTAAACAAGAAATCTACAGTATCACAGATTATAAAAGTGACACACAACAAAGAAATGCTACTCGGTCATGTCACACTGGCTCTGAAATGTATAGTTTTGCATCAATGGCATCTCGAATGCTGGAGAATAAGGATTACTCTTACATACATCACTCTACAAATAAATTGCGTTTGTATTGAGAAGGGAAAACCAGTACAAACGCCATCTCCACTTCCTCAGTCCTCCTCTCTCGTCCCTTTTGAAGCCTCAGAATAAACGTGTCTTGATTGAGAGCGGGGCAGGGGACTATTGCGCTCTAGATTAGGTTCTGTGCATAGAAGCATTTTCCTGCCTTTGTCCAGGAAGTGTTGACTATTGATGTTGTTTCGTTAGTTCCCATTTCACGCTCTGCTGTGTCGAGATTGCCAAACGCAGATTCTGTGCCAACTCCATTATGAACACATGTTGCATGTCCCGGCTGTTGTTTATTTTTAAGTAAATACAGTTGAAAGCCAGCGTGGTCCCAGTGAGCATGCTGAGTTTAAGTCCTGATAAATGTTGGAGAAGATTGAGGTACAGAGTGAAACTTGGTGGTGAGAGTCGGCCATTTGATTGTATTTGAGATGTTATTGCTTTTCCTAGAATGTTCTGCAGTGCGATGTCATTTGGCACAACACGATTGGTTTTGTTGCTGGGAACTTGGATACTTTTCTTTCGGGGAAGTTATTTACTAATTATAAAAGATAATGCAAAGAGTAATAGAAAAGTCTCTTAAAAAACTTACCAAACTAGACTGACTGTTTAAACAAATTAAACAGTCAGTCGTTGTCTCTCGGTTTCTTAAATGTTATAATCCAATTTTCTTCCCCCTTGCCGGTATGAGCGTGGCGAAATGTAAATGTTCTTAAACTTTTCACTGCACCTACAGACCCATTCAACATTTTTCAGTTTGGTTCTGCATTGTATTGCTGTAAACGGTAGATTTAGATATAAGTAAATCATTTTGCTATTTATCTGCCATAATATAAACTGTAAACTGAACAAGTTTGTCACAACATTTAAATTGTTGATCACCTTTTTAAAATGCAGGATATTTATTTCCAGAGTAAAAATAACTAAAATAGTGTAAAGGTAAAGGTGACCAATCCTGATGCCGCTGATGGCTCACGTCAGGAGCAGTGGTCACCGGAGTAACAGCGCCCAGGAACCCATCTCCAGACGATATCAAATCAATGTCTTTCTAGTCATACATAAGCATAGTTGAATTTGTTGAATTTCTCCTGCATA